CAAAATTTCCCACAATGCACCTTGAAAAGTAGTGATCTTCTATGGTCACTAGACGAGCAGATAATCCCAGAATGATTTGCAAGAGTTGTCTTTATTTAAAGGAAACAGATTTCCATAGTTTCCATTATTCATCTTAGAGCATAAATGCCATTTAATTCAAAATATGGTTGCCTGGAATATTGATACTCAAGCTTGTAGCCGAGATGATGCTAAATTGGCATGGTATCAATACTAAAGACAAGATTTGTTTGTATATTTCTGCAGGGTTTTTTATTTATTTATTTATTTCTATTTCTTAAATTAATAATATTGCCCAATTGTGTTATATTTGGGTCATTTATTTTGTATTTGCATTTAAGTGTAATGAAAATATTTATAATAACCTAAATTGTTTGTCTTTTTTTATCCCCATTGATCGATAATACGGAGTATTGAATATTTTTCTGGGTATTGATATTGATTTTTTAAAAATTGTATCATGATATCAATATTTTTATAAGGGTGTAAAACTTAAATTAAAAAAAAGCAAATAAATTGCTAATAACATTAAGGTTTAAAATCCTAATATAAAGTGAAGCAGGGGTAGAGGTGACCCAGATTTCAGGTATTTAATAATGTTTATGTCGGTGATTGTAGAAAAAAAATGGGGGTATGAGATTGTTGAAAACCAAACTGAAAACCTGCCAACATTTTATTTACCATAGGTTGGTTTTTCATGTCTGATTTTTACTCCTAAACTGTTTCTAAGATGTAATGATAAACATATTTTTATTTTAAGCCATGTCAAATAATTAAGACTGCAGGTATTCTTTGCTCTCAGAATAGTTGAACTGATCCATAATAACCTCAGGATTTGCAACAGAGACATCAGGCCTGATTTCTGACATCATATATGGAATTTAATGCTAATGTTAGAATGCAGAGAGATGGAAAATCCTTGACGTTTGTAAAGCTGTCATACAAAGCGAACAGACTTTCCAGAATCAGCCCAAAGTTCCAGAAGGGGAAGCAAACAGAGGTGAACCAATAAAGTTTCATTTCTGCTTTCAGGATCATGGGGACTGTAGATCGCCGGCATGACCAGCGGAAACCCTAGAAACAACCCCAATCCTCTTTCCCTGCGTCGCCCTGCCATGGCCAGCAGGAGTCCCGCCATTAACCTGGAGGACGAGGATTCGTCACAGACGATGGCCGAGGCTGCTGCTGATGATGATGGCTTCTGCAAGCTGTGCCTGAGCCTGCAGCCGCCTGCTGCCATCAGGGAGCTGCAGAGCTGCAAGTGCATGTTCTGCACAGCGGTGAGGAGCGATGACACGTCCCGCATTCACAGCAGATCTGAAGGAGGTTTCCTATGGAAACATGCACTCTATTTATCCTAGACCTTTAATGATGATCCTACTGTTCTCAGGCTGGACAATGTACTTTACTGCTGATTTTTCTTGATTTAAGTTTTCCTTGTTTTGTGCAGGCAAATAAGACAATTTACCAACGGAATAAGATGATTTAAATTTAAGATAAGAAAAAAAACTCCATTAACTTCTTTTATGTGCATAATATCCAATTATCTTATTTCAAGGACAAAACTACTCACTCCATTAGCGTATTGTTGTATTTGTACGCTCAAATTAAGGAAGAAGAACTCCCTTATTTTACGTATCTTATTGTTGAATTATTTTTAGATCCATTTTTTTCTAATATTAATATGAATTATTCTAATGCATAAAATTAAGTAAATTTGTCTTGAAATTAATGTATTTTTGTATTTTTGAGCAGGTAGGTTAGACGATTTGGAATGGAATGAATGGAACAAGATCAATTATGTGAAGAATAAGTAAAAATAGTTTAATTTACTTAGTTCAAGCGCATAATACCTAATTATCTCATTTCGAAGGTAAAATTTATTTGACAAATTATCTTGTTTACCTGCTTAAACTTTTTATTCTAAGAAACTTTACTTATTTTAGATGGGTTTTTGCAGTGCACTGGAAAGACGATCTAGAAATAAGTAAAAAAAAATAAATGAAGAGTATTTACCCTTAATTTGATTAGGTAAATGAGATAGTTTGCCAATGGAATTTGTGTTTTTACACTTAAAATAAGATAATTACATAACATGCACTTGTGATTGTGTTTTCTTATTTTAATTGTAAATTGTCTTCTTCCATTGGCAGGATGTCTCTTTTACCTCCTCAATACAAGAACAAATGCGCTTAATTGAAGAAAAGATGACATCTAGATTTTAATTTTTTCCAGTGTGTGGGGTTGATTCCATTTCAGATTCTTAGTGTTGCAGTGCAAAAAAAAAAAAAGACTTTAAATGTGTATTTGCCTCTAATTTGAGCAGGAAAATAAGATGATCTACTAATAGAATAAGAAGTTCTGCCTTTAAAATAATTACTCTGGAAAAAAATTGAAATCTAGATACGTCCTTTTTTCTTAAAATAAGTTCATTCTGTTCTTGGATTTAGGAGGTAAAAGAGACATTTTGCCAATAGAACAAGACAATTTACACTTAAAAAAGGAAAACACAATTGCATTGTCTTATTTTAAGTGCATATTATGTAATTATCTACATTGGCAAACTATCTCATTTACCTACTCAGAGTAAGGGTAAATACACTTATTTAAGAAATATTAATTTTCTTTCCAGTGTACATAATAAGCACTTGAAATAAGATAAAGAAGTTTTTTTTTCTTATTTTAAAATGGAATAAACTTTTTTTCAATGGTAAATTGTCTTACTTTCCTTCTCAAAACATTGGAAAATACACTCATTTCATGAAAAATGTACTTAATTGGAACAGTACAGTGTGTCCAGTTTGAAAACCTGTATCGATGTTTGTGTGTCCAGGATATTTATAGAAGATTTAGTTTGAACCTGGCTGTTTATTTTTAACTCTGTGTTGATCCAGTCTTGCTTTAAAAAGAAGTCACTAAAGCTGTTTGTTTCATTGTCAGTCCAACAAAGAGCTGATTAAACCCTCCATAGAAAAAAGCCTTCGGGAATTTGACAAGAATCCGTTCTTAAAAAGCACCATAAATAGATCAGGGTATATTTAGAGCGCAGGTTCTTTGCTCCATCATCTGCAGTGATGATTTTACAAAAGGGATCCAATGCATTTATCCTTATGCGCAGTTTCTGCTCTTTGTTGACAAATATCAGATTTTTCCCATGATGACATGAAAACCTGCCGTTTCCTCAGCTTCATTCCATTTAACTTGTCTTTGGACTTTTCCAGCTTCTGACTTGTTTTTAAAAGCTGCGAGTCATGGTCAGAGTTTCAGTTTCACCCTTGCTGTAAGAACAGCGGTGCTATCTTTGGAAGAAAGAGCAGTAATATTTATAAGGGGAGGCCAGACGTTTACGTCTCCATCTGTTCCTGCCAGGAATATCAAAACAGAGCGACTTCCCGTCTCAGGTGTTATTCCCCGTCCAAGTAGCCGGCTTTGGAAGCACAAGGTCACCAAAGGCATTAAAAACACGCCAACATATGGAGCAAGGAGAAGGAAAAATGAAAACAGTGCATGCGGATTGTTTCTGTTTTGTCAATCAGAAACACCCGGAGCCCTCTGGTGTCGGATGGCAGAGTTTTCACCTGCGTCGCTCCTCCCGTTTAGTGTCATTACCACTGCATTTCAGGTTTCCGCTCCGGGCTTTTATGTGTCTTTTTCACAGAAATGAAAAATACTGTTCCTCAAAACTCAGCATTTGTGCAATCCTTGCATAGTTAGTTCCTTTCTTCCTTTCTAGATTTCACAGCTGAGGCAACATGTGACTGCTGACATGTGGAGGCTGATATAAGGAATGCTTGTGTCGGTCTGTTTTCAAAACACTTCTATTCCCATGCCTGCTTCCTTTATATCTCCATATGATGTCCCCTTTTTTTTTGTATGCAATAAAGAGACGTTTGTTATTGTATTTTTTAAGACTTGGCATTTCTTTTACCGTTCTGCCAATAATCAAACATCTCTGCTGTTTTTTCTCCCCCCTGCAGTGTTTGCAGCAGTATGTCCAGCTAGCCATAATGGAGGGTGGGGGGGCTCCAATCACATGCCCAGATATGGCTTGCCCTAAAAGCGGAGTGCTGCTAGACTCAGAGGTATGTGCTTTTTAACCTGAAAATGTAATAATTTAACTGAGACTGCAAAGTTGGGAGCACTGCAGCTTTATATCTGACAAAAAATATTTTTAATCTTGTTTTGAAATTGATATACAAATTATTAGCAGAGTCTGTTAGATTATTATTCTTCTTTGGGAGAAAATTCTACACAGAAATATGTGCAATAATCTGCCTGTGCAGTAAGACGATGGCAGTTTTTTAAGACTCCTTGTTTTGAGAATATATTTCATGCCCTCCAGAAGTCATACGGTGCATTAACACCCAATACACCTGCTGTTGCTCGCCTGGACATTGGCCACCCCAGCGAAAGCATTTCACAGACCAGGCAAAGGCTCCTACGTTATCAAGTCTACAGGATTCACTGAGGGTTTCACTTCAACGTGGTGGACAAGGATTCTACGGAGCAACTTGCATTGCTTTTTTTTATATTCGAAAGCAGAACAAAGCAGTCGATTTCTCTGGATTTGCCAGATTTTTTCAGACTGGAGAATACTGCCGCCTTCTCTGGATGACGGCCACTTTCAGCGGCACTTCCACCTAACCGTTCGAGACCTTGCTCACTGGAAACAATCTAAATCTAGCAAAGTGATTTTTTTTCTTAAAATAAGTGCATTTGTTCTTGAAATAAGGAGGTAAATGAGACATTTTGCCAATGGAACAAGAAACTTTACACTTCAAATAAGAAAACACAATTGCATTGTCTTATTTCATGTGTATATTATCTAATTGTCTTATTTTAAGAGTAAAAATACTCCTTCCATTGGCAAAGTATCTGATTTACCTACTCAACTTAAGGGTAAATACACTTAATTTAAGGAATTTTTTACTTA